TCTCTCTCTCTCTCTCTCTCTCTCTCTCTCTCTCTCTCTCTCTCTCGCGCGCGCGCGCGCGCGCGCGCGCGCCATCATCATCATCATCATCTAATCTCTCTTCCCCCCCTCCTCCACCCATTTTATATTCGAATCATCATCATTTCTCCATTCCTTTCATTTCCCGTGTTCTCCCGGACGTAGGAGAATATTGACCTCCCGGCTTCCACATGGAACCGAACATATGCAGACGCTGACAAGGAGAAGGTCGACGTGGAGAGAAGGATGACATGAAGGACAACGGAAAAAACACGGGCTGGGATGTCGAAAGATGGACAGTCGAGGGCAAAGCGAGGAGGAGGAGGAGAAATGATCAGATCGCGGCTTACCTCTTTCGCGCGGAGCTGTTCATCGCTCCTTCGACGAAAAGACGAAGGTTTGACTATTGGCGACTTCGAACATCAATCTAGAGCACCACACTGCTCATCTCTCTCTCTCTCTCTCTCTCTCTCTCTCTCTCTCTCTCTGTGTGTGTGTGCGTATGTGGCAGGCATAGCCCCCCCTCCCCCCGCTCCCCCAGACACACCCACCCACGCTCACGCACACGCACACGCACGCATGCACGCACACAACCCCCACCACGCGACCGCACGCGCGCAACCCTCACCACGCGACCACACGCACACACAACCCCGCCCACGCGACCACCCGCGCACACAGGCGCAGTCAGGGCGGCGCCGGGCCTACCGGTAGGACCACCCGGTAGGGCCTACCGGTGGCCCCCTACCCCTACCCCTAGCGCTGCGATTCACGAAGGCCGCCGTAGGTCCTACCGGTAACCATAGGCCAAGATGGACGGCCTGTTCTAGGTCCATCTAGGCCGTTGAAACCGCGCCATGCGACGGCCTAGATTCGATTCGATATGTGTTACATTCTTGCAACAATCGGGGAGCCTGGCGGGGCGGTCGGACTGCCCACGGCCCCGGTTCGAGATTTGTTATACATTAGCGATTTTGTTTTTCTTTTTCCTTTTTATGGGCTTCGTTACCCCCGCTTTGACGCTGCGGGCCAAGCGATTTCCGACAGTGACGCGCGCGGAGTGCACGGTAGAGTGAGCTGACACCAACACGATAGCCACGCTACGGATATGACGATGACGATGGATACACTCCGCCTCGACGGAGCGTCCGTCGGGTTCTTCGAGCCATAACTTTCTTCAAGCCACGCTGCGGATATGACGATTGATCACTCCGCCTCCACGGAGGGTACTAGTAGATCACATAGCGTCCGTTCGGAACGGCCTTACACATATTCAAGAGCCATAACTTTCTTCAACTTACACATATTCAAGAGCCATAACTTTCTTCAAATTAGCGTGCGAGGATTTCTTATTCACTTTTGTTCCAATATTTCCGGATGTAGACGGTTCATCAGATCATTTTTCTGCTGTGGGTTTACTACATTAAATTTTCACCATAGAGTTATACTGCATCGCCGATCTGATTCAGAGTACTCCATATTGCACTCCATTCCAAGCAGTTAGCAGTGGAATATCGGTTATGCACTTTGACGCAGTGTTCTCGGACGTAGGTAGTGTATCGGATCTTTACACCCTGTGAGGTTTCCACGAGAGAGTTTACACTGTGAACCCGAGTTAACGTTGTTTACAGAGACAGATCTTTCGCGGGCTGCAAAGAACAGTCGGTCTGAGCTTGAGGAGAACAAAATGCAGGTAGCAAATGAAAAGGAAGTAGAGATGGCCAGGGGAGCTCCATCGCCCCCTCCTGCTCTGGAGGGAGCAAATGAGGAGGACGATCAAATTCGTGAAACGATCCGCCTTTGCTATGAGGAAGGTGAAAAAAGAGCTTCAATCTATTGGTGGGGAGCAGCACCTGCTGGAAAACGGGTCCACCGTCCCAATACACAAATAACTATCTGCATACATTGACATCCTGCCAGCATTGATTACCCTGTACCCAGGGGATGGACTGAGCAGGTGAGAAGGTAAGAGGGATTACCAAAAGAGGCCTCTTCAGCCCTGCTGCTGGGCGCCTGACCAACCTGACTACCTGGCCCCCTTTTGTGCTCCCTTCCAACATAGACCTGGGAGAAATGTCTGTTGAAGGCAGGGAAGAAAGGTTCCACCAGTACCTCGCTCAGCTATCGGCCGTGGGCCTTCCCGTATACGCGCCGCAGCCTTAGGGGGGTGGGCCAAGGGAAGGCCCGGTCGCTGCTTCTTGGCCGGAGCCCGCCAAGTACGGGGTGTCACCTCACAGAATAAGAAAAAAAAAATTATAAACACAAGAAAAAAAACGAAATAAAAGAAGATAACTGTCGTTGCTTCTTGGCGCGCCGTAGGGG